TTCAATTTCAGCCAATCAGTGATTACAAACATCCTCCTACACCTACCATCCCTTGTTTCAATTTCAGCCAATCAGTGATTACAAATATCCTCCTACACCTACCATCCCTTGTTTCAATTTCAGCCAATCAGTGATTACAAACATCCTCCTACACCTACCATCCCTTGTTTCAATTTCAGCCAATCAGTGATTACAAACATCCTCCTACACCTACCATCCCTTGTTTCAATTTCAGCCAATCAGTGATTACAAACATCCTCCTACACCTACCATCCCTTGTTTCAATTTCAGCCAATCAGTGATTACAAACATCCTCCTACACCTACCATCCCTTGTTTCAATTTCAGCCAATCAGTGATTACAAATATCCTCCTACACCTACCATCCCTTGTTTCAATTTCAGCCAATCAGTGATTACAAACATCCTCCTACACCTACCATCCCTTGTTTCAATTTCAGCCAATCAGTGATTACACATCTTCAGTAACTGATAACAAAAGTGCATCGTCAGGCAGATGTAAATCATACAAGTTCAATGAAAGAGCCACGAAAGGCATTAATGATGTGTCTGTATTCTGTACCAGGCCAATCCTCAGTTATAATTACAAGCTTTGAGATTGAAGATAGGCAATATCTTCACCAGAAATGTATCGATAGTCGCCAAATATAGACACGATGCAGACAAAAATCTCTCAATTTAATTCTTGAGATTTGCTCAAGGTAAATATTTGTTAACTCAGCATTGTTTTTTGGTTTTCATCATGCATTGGTATTGTTGTAAAATTGTTGTCAGAATATATAACTCCAATAACAAAACTAATATGTGACCAAAAAAGCAATCATCCCTATTGCATTACACATCAGTGTTAAAAAAAAACACCTGTGTAATATGAATACTGAGTACCTCACACACCTGTGTGATATGAATACTGAGTAACTCACACACCTATGTGATATGAATACTGAGTACAATACACACCTGTGTGATATAAACACTGATTACATTACACACCTGTGTGATATGAATACTGAGTACAATACACACCTGTAAGATATAAACACTGATTACATTACACACCTGTGTGATATAAACACTGATTACATTACACACCTGTGTGATATGAATATTGATTACATTACACACCTGTGTGATATGAACATTGAGTACAATACACACCTGTGTGATATAAACACTGATCACATTACATACCTGTATGATATAAACACTGATTACATTACACACCTGTGTGATATGAATACTGTTTACATTACACACCTGTGCATTATGAATACTGATTACATTACACACCTGTGTGATATTAAAACTGATCACATTTCACACCTGTGTGATATTAATACTGATTACATTACACACCTGTGTGATATAAATACTGATCACATAACACCTGTGTGAAATAAACACTGATTACATTTCACACCTGTGTGATATTAATACTGATTACATTACACACCTGTGTGATATAAATACTGATCACATAACACCTGTGTGAAATAAACACTGATTACATTTCACACCTGTGTGATATTAATACTGATTACATTACACACCTGTGTGATATAAATACTGATCACATAACACCTGTGTGAAAAAAACACTGATTACATTACACACCTGTGTGATATAAACACTGATTACAATACACACCTGTGTGATATATATACTGATTACATTACACACCTGTATGATATAAACACTGATTACATTACACACCTGTGTGATATTAAAACTGATCACATTTCACACCTGTGTGATATTAATACTGATTACATTACACACCTGTGTGATATAAATACTGATCACATAACACCTGTGTGAAATAAACACTGAATACATTACACACCTGTGTGAAATAACACTGATTACATTTCACACGTGTGTGATATTAATACTGATTACATAACACACCTGTGTGATATAGATACTGATCACATAACACCTGTGTGAAAAAAACACTGATTACATTACACACCTGTGTGATATAAACACTGATTACAATACACACCTGTGTGATATATATACTGATTACATTACACACCTGTATGATATAAACACTGATTACATTACACACCTGTGTGATATAAACACTGATTACAATACACACCTGTGTGATATATATACTGATTACATTACACACCTGTATGATATAAACACTGATTACATTACACACCTGTGTGATATTAAAACTGATCACATTTCACACCTGTGTGATATTAATACTGATTACATTACACACCTGTGTGATATAAATACTGATCACATAACACCTGTGTGAAATAAACACTGAATACATTACACACCTGTGTGAAATAAACACTGATTACATTTCACACCTGTGTGATATTAATACTGATTACATTACACACCTGTGTGATATAAACACTGATTACAATACACACCTGTGTGATATATATACTGATTACATTACACACCTGTATGATATAAACACTGATTACATTACACACCTGTGTGATATTAAAACTGATCACATTTCACACCTGTGTGATATTAATACTGATTACATTACACACCTGTGTGATATAAATACTGAATACATTACACACCTGTGTGAAATAAACACTGATTACATTTCACACCTGTGTGATATTAATACTGATTACATTACACACCTGTGTGATATAAACACTTATTACAATACACACCTGTGTGATATATATACTGATTACATTTCACACCTGTGTGATATTAACACTGATTACATTACACACCTGTGTGATATAAACACTGATTACATTACACATCTGTGTGATATAAACACTGATTACATTACACACCTATGTGATATAAACACTGATTACATTACACACCTGTGTGATATAAACACGGATTACATTACACACCTGTGTGATATAAACACTGATTACATTACATAGGTATATCTTATGATATGGATACTGATCACATAACACCTGTGTGAAATAAACACTGATTACATTACACACCTGTGTGATATAAACACTGATTACATTTCACACCTGTGTGATATTAATACTGATTACATTACACACCTGTGTGATATAAATACTGATCACATAATACCTGTGTGAAATAAACACTGATTACATTACACACCTGTGTGATATAAACACTGATTACATTACACACCTGTGTGATATAAACACTGATTACAATACACACCTGTGTGATATAAACACTGATTACATTACACACCTGTGTGATATAAACACTGATTACATTACACACCTGTGTGATATAAACACTGATTACATTACACACCTGTGTGATATAAACACTGATTACATTACACACCTGTGTGATATAAACACTGATTACAATACACACCTGTGTGATATAAACACTGATTACATTACACACCTGTGTGATATAAACACTGATTACATTACACACCTATGTGATATAAACACTGATTACATTACACACCTGTGTGATATAAACACTGATTACATTACACACCTATGTGATATAAACACTGATTACATTACACACCTGTGTGATATAAACACGGATTACATTACACACCTGTGTGATATAAACACTGATTACATTACACACCTGTGTGATATAAACACTGATTACATTACACACCTGTGTGATATAAACACTGATTACAATACACACCTGTGTGATATAAACACTGATTACATTACACACCTGTGTGATATAAACACTGATTACATTACACACCTATGTGATATAAACACTGATTACATTACACACCTGTGTGATATAAACACTGATTACATTACACACCTATGTGATATAAACACTGATTACATTACACACCTGTGTGATATAAACACTGATTACATTACACACCTGTGTGATATAAACACGGATTACATTACACACCTGTGTGATATAAACACTGATTACAATACACACCTGTGTGATATAAACACTGATTACATTACACACCTGTGTGATATAAACACTGATTACATTACATAGGTATATCTTATGATATTCTCCTATTTGATTAAAGCCTCCATTCATTTTGATCCTTTAGAATTAGATAATATGATTGAACAGAGGAAGGAGTTGGGTAGTAATTCTCACACTTCAGTATTATAAGTCTTATATCATAACTTTGAACTCATTAAGTCACTATGTGTTGTAAATGTCAGTTTTTCAAATAGTAGAAACATCACACTAAAACACCCCTGAAATCCAATATCGCCAATAGTGTGGTAAAAATTCGCAAAGAAATGTTGATTCCATGCAGATCCCATTACTCAATGTCGCGCGTTTTATTACAAACGACTTGACGACCAAACCATGAAGACAGCAGGAATGAGAGATTTGTAGTCCTGGGAAATAGGATCTATGGAAATTAACCACGACAGCCCCTCCTGCACCCAGCCATGAGTCAGCCGGGGACAGATGGAGAGGGGGGACATGTGCAATTATTGATCATTTCACTGACCCACTCCCTAACACAATGTCTCCGAGAAGCCAACTGATGCTGGGTGTGATCTGAGGCCTGCATCACACATGCATCGTTAATTATATAATTATACTCTCTGACCAGACCAGTCTCATTATATAACAAATGTGTTTCGGGTTTTCTTTGATACACATGTATATGTACCTATGTATACATAAATATATACACATTCTAAATATACATCATGTTGTTTACATCTGGTGAAATTAAAAACATGTTTTTACACTGTTCAATGAACGTGTGTAATATCATTTCAGTTAAAGGATTTTTCATGATGTAATATGTGAGTTAGTCTATTTTGAAGTTAAATAAGCATACATTATTGGTCTACTTGTCAGTAGGTAAATAGACCTTGAATATTTACTAGTTTGAACAGTAGTTCCAGCAAGCGTACTATATATTATGCTAACAAAAAGGGTAATATATCAATTTGCTAGAAATGCATTATTATATATAATTCGTGTAAGTATTACAAAAACAATTATATTTATATTTACGATGTGTTTATACTAAATATATTACAAAAATACTTACTATTGTGTTGTTTATATATTCCTTATATATATGCCTCTAGCTGTCAAGAATGTTTTTCGTCCAAAAAGCAGTTTGAACATTATAGTAAATGTCCATTTAACAACACACGCTTACGGTAGTCTTATAATCCAACGAATTACACAAATATTCTACAAAGCAGGGTACATATACATGTAATACCCCTTTAGTCCTGTACAGAGAATATTGTTTGAACAGAGTGAACTAGCTTCACCTGTATAACACACTCACACGTGTGTACACCCTTATACCGTGTACGGGTGTATTTCAGTGAATGTGTGATGTATAATCCCACGAGGTCCTCGATTTCATGAGGCTGACCTGCCTAGGTCGTTGACTGTATGTATTTACTATCAAGACAAGCAACAACAAAGCTTGTCAATCATCTAACTGTTACATACCAAGACGTGCATCTCCCCGTCATCGTTGTGTACTAACGCTATTGGAGCGACACGGTTCAGCGCCGTTCGCTGGCCCGATAAGCGTATTATGAATGGCAGCAACAAACATTTTTAGTGTAACATACAACGTGCGGCGGTACACGAGTCACGCGGAGGTGTTTCAGGAGCAAACTGGACATCGATAATAAGCACGGTTCCTTCGTTCGTGGCCGGAGTCGTACAAATAGGGTTTGTACGTTCGTGTGACATGCCCTGAGAGGTGACCTTGGCTTTTAATTATCACACCCGATATGATGAATATTGAACCGCAAGGAGAGCACACTCTATAATAAATGGACTACCCATATGTCGTTATAATTATTATAACAATGCTGATATCACAATGCGAGTTCATCAGCAAATTTGGTAAGCCGAGACGCCGATGTAGCAGATCGTAGTTTTCTAAGTGTATGCATAATGTATTGCGGTACTTCAGCTATATCGAGAGCGGATGGAATCGGTTTTATAGAATTCCTGCAGTCGACATGGAGTCGATTCCGTTACTTCTATAATCGGTGTTTATTTATTAAGCGTCTAGCCACAGCGGGCATCGATCGTTTTTGATTGCTGACACCGGTCAAGTTGATCTGCCGGGACTAATTGTATGACTATATCTAGCGCCATACATAATTTACTAATACCAACCAAAGGCCATCGAGACCTTAGTTCTAATATGGACTTAAATATAGACCATGGGTTACTATAGAATAAGTCAGTGTAAAGGCCAAGCCCGTGCTTCTGCCTATAAATAAATTTCAAAGTTTGAAAAACACACCAATTGCAATGTTTCAAAACCAATAAGTTAATGTCCGTAAAGTTAACAATACAAAGTAAACCACGGACAAACAACAGAAACTATAAGTCTAGGAATTCCTTATTGTAGTTTACTGTCAAGACAAAATATGTGGTCCGACTATTTTAACGTCCTTGTAACAGCTAGTCATACATGAGGAGGGGAGTCTATAGGAACACCACGGATAGCAAATAATAGAACGAAAGAGGGAGAAAAATGATAAAGAAAGCAAAAGACTAAATTATCATTACATTCTTAACGGCCCGTCAACACATAAATGGTCATTATGACCAAAAAGACTAATTAGGAAAGGAATTAATATGATGAGATTTAATGTATGTATGTGTCATATTGTTCATCTTTTAGATAAAATAATGTTTGAAAGCGAGATGTAATTGAGAATACAAGCAGTCGTCAATAGTATTGTGATTACAGGTAATCTTTCAGGTGATTATAATTGTTATTTAGGTCAGATCTTCATATTTTCAAGGGAAGAAGATATAATTCTATTTGACATGATCTTTTTACACCTTACTTATTTACGCAATAGTCAATCTTGTTAGCCCAGGTTAAGCACGAGTTCTAGCAGGGGTACATGGAGGGGGGAAGTAGGTATTCCACGTCTGACTGGAGAATCAAATCTCTGGTCGCTTTATACAACGTCGCTGTTGAAACAAACTTTAAGCCATATAAGTAAATATTTTCGGAAATCGACAACGAATATGATATCTTGGAAGTTCGTAGTCATAGCAACGTCAACAGGAACGTCTACAAATGTTCCGGTGTGTACGTGTAATATAGTATTTATAGCGATATTCTTCTTATTTTTACATCAATTGCGAAACAAGCTTTAAGCCTGATGGAAGGGTATATGTGATGTTCTTGGTGGAGGAAACCGGAGTATCCGGGAAAACCCAAGTGGTCGGGTTGGTGACCCCATACCTTTTCACTTCCGTGTCGGGAATCGAATCCCGGACATCTAGGTGAAGACGAGTGTTGTACCACTGCGCCACCAACCACTTTATGACATTTATAGCTATATTAATGCACAGCCATGTAGAAAAACATTATATTTGCTGGCTTTAACACAATTTTGTCATGTAAGGATGTCATTGTATATCTCTTTAAGTGTCCTATCGAGACAGTTGAAATGGTAGCTGTCGAACATCCTTGTCTACAGCATGATCAACCGGAAAGAACAAAGGTTTTGTGCCTCGTCATTCTATACGATTTTCTTGTGAGCAGTGGCATTTACAGACCGATAAATGTTCATTCTCCGTAAAATAAAGCGAACATAAGATGTATTTTACATGTACCATTTCTGCGTGAACCGGGTCTCGTGTATACATGTTATTCACAGGCCTTTAGTCGCCAGAGAATTAATCGACAGAAGTATACAATTGAGTTTATATTAAACAGTTTGTTCGGCGGCATAAGACCCAGAATTCAATTTAACTCAATTACCTGTTATATTCATACGTTATACGAACCGAACTGCAAATTAATTACATATAATACAATGCAACTGTACGTATATTAAGCGGGTTTTAATTTATCTGAAGAAACATACAATCAGATGATATAATGAAAAGACCCGTGCAACACGACATTATTGGTTCAAAGTATATATGTGTTTGACCCTTATTTCTAACACTGACTGAATCGTTTGGGAATGAAATTTACCCAATAAAACCGAGGCAAGGAAAAAAATTCAAGATTGAAACACAATATAACAAAGCCATTGAAATGTATTATGTTTTCAGTTCTCGGATATTAGGCGTTCGGTCTGTAAATTACTTCGAGAAAGAAACACCTGAGATTTTCTGTACATACAAACTTAAAAATGTCCATGAAAAACCATATATTTTTAACATTCCGATCATAATTTGAATTTGGAATTTATTGTGTTCTTTCTCGAAAATCACTGTTTTTACACCCTCAGGACGAAAGTGGTTGATAGTATATAGGATTTGTCCGTGTGTATGTATCCAGAACAGCAGACAGTCTGTAGAATGGTGACGTTGGTTTTTTATCTGTTTGTCACGATATTCACACATGTATCAACAAACATCACCTGTCGTTTATGCGTGTTATCACGTTCTTGTTACACTTGTAATTAATTCCTTTTATTTCTCACGTCGATTATCTCGGATTCTCTCTGTACATAGCTTATCTTACGTCAATTTAATGAGAAGAAAATAGTAATATTGAAATTTTTTTTTTTTTTTTTATAATTTTTTATTTTTCAAAGATTTTTCAAAACATAAATGTTTCACTTGCAGCCTTTCAAAGCCACACATGCCCTCACACACCAATACACAGACACGCCATACAATTTAAGGGCCTAACATCATTTTCACTCTAAATTGTACATAACATATCATTATCATTCGCAAAGAATTACATGTATCAAACAAGCACCAATCCTCATCATCATCATCAAACATCAATCATCATAATCATCATCATCAAACATCCAGACTATTAACCAACAGAAAATATACTGTGGATTCATTTTATTTCGTGGGGGTCCAATTTTCGTTGTTTTCGTGGATGAGCAAATCCACGAATTTAAAAACACAACGAAATATGAACTACTTACTAAAGTAATTTTTAAATTTGACCAAGTAATCTTTGCCGACACCGGAAACGTCCACCGGTAATGACAGAAGCCCCGTAATTAGTCGGGAGTCGGGTAGTCTGAGGCTCGACATGGATACGCTAAATTGGTGTCAACGATATGTAATTATATATTATTAAACATAACAAAGGGTAAGTACCCATTGTGATGCTAAGTATGATGGGATCGCAGTCGTTAGCGACACTGTGGACACTAGGCTTGATCGGACCATCCTGTCGATTGAAGATTGGATCCGTGTTTCTATCCGACTACAGGTTCACAATAATTATTAATAATGCAGATCTTGTTTACACACCTGTTTACACACATGGTCCCATCGATACGCGTGGTGTTTTCATATGACTGCGGTACACCGACTGATCAGCACACAATGTTTATCCACTGAAAACAATTGTTTCTGATAATTACCGATTGATTACACGCCAGGATATATACTGATTTGTGGTTTGATATTAATGCGAGACTGTTGTAAACAGCGTTATAAAAACACAGGACGCCATCTTGAAAAAAAAACGTTCTTTTATTCTTGTCATTAGTGTTAATTCCTGTGAACATAGCCTTAATACAAACAGAAAAAAATTCGACTGGAAGCAAAAAGAGAAAATTCTAACGTTTTTATTTTTTTCCCACAGAATCAAAAATCCACGAATTTATGAGTCCACGAAACTGTCTAATTTGTAGAAACAACGAAAATTGAACCCAACGAAAATAAATGAATCCACAGTAGGTGGCTACGGAATTTGGCCCAGCCCATACCTTCTATGGGATGAGTACACACACACACACTCACACACCCTCTCTCACACGTATATACACACACATCC